CAGGATCTATAGGGATAAATGAAGTGGGAAGTTTGTAAATGTTTTCTGGTGATTTTAATATGGGGATAGGTGTGAGGGATGCCCCACTGTTAGGACGGTGGCTCTCAGTTCTGTTACTGGGCCAGGAGGTTGCTGTGGGGCCTGCCTTCTCTGTGGGGTAGGAGTGGCAGAAGGGGCTCAGGAGCTTGGGAGTCTGCGGGTGCTGTACCCTAGAGGCTGTGGACTGAGCACAGCTTTCTGTATGGGGGATGGGAATCCCAGACTCACAGTGTTTTGGGGTTCCTGCTTCAGAAAGCAAGGCCAGGTCACACCATCAGCCCTGAAGCAGTGGCTCTTGCAGAGAATGCCCTGGTGTTACGGTAGGAAAACTAGGCTGGAGCTCTTAGCACGGGGAACAGGGATTCCCCAGGGACAGGGCCCTTCTCAGAGCTCCTAGAGGAGGAGTGCCCCCAGAATTGCGGGTTCCTGAGAGCCCAGTTTTAACAGAATGTGGGGCAAAGTGCTTAGGAAGGCCAGTTAGGGAGCTGGATGTGGCCTGGAGGGTTAAGACGGTGTGTGTGTGTGTGTGTGTGTGTGTGTGTGTGTGTGTGTGTGTGTAGTTGGAAGCCATGCACATAATACAGTTATTTTATACTTCAAGACAACCCTTATGACTCCTTCTCATAGTCCCTCAGAGGGGAAACCACACAGGCTACAGGTTTGTACCTCAAGACACAAGGAGGCACTTAGTTTAGAAGCCCACTGCCTCAGTTTCCCTGCTTTAGGAAACAAATCAACAGAGAAAAATGGGAAAGGGGAGTCCAAGCCTATGCCAGCCCGGCTCCTCTGGCCGGCTCACCTGGCTTAACGTCCTTTCTTTAGAAGTCAGGCTCAGCTCTGACTCCTTTTACAGGTGAAAAGTTGGGAGACTGGAGGGAATGTATCTGGCAGTATTTCCTCTCCTGCTGGGGGCTTCAGCAGGAGGTCACAGTAACTGTCAGAGCTGGGGATGCTTCAGCCAGTGAGTCCCCATGGTGTGGACTCCTGCAGCTACAGATCCTCTCCACAGAACCCTCATGGGACTTGTGTGAGTTCAAGGGTTCTGGGCTGCAGTCTCTGCTCCGTCCAGCTCTCTCCTCAGTGCACCCTCTCCCACTCTCTTCCCCCTGTGCCTTTTTCTGCACTTTTCTTAAACCTTCCATCCCCTAGGGCCTCCACCTGCAGCTGGCACACAATGCTTATGTGGAGTTGAATGGACGGTCTGGGGTCTGACACCTGGCTCTGTCCCTTGTTGGGGACTTTGGGGAAGTACCTACCTCAGTCCCAGTTTAGTTATTTGTCACTTAGGAGTACTAGCACCTGCCTAAAAAACCCAAACGCAGCACCTGCCTCCCGGAGCTTTGAGGCTTCAGTGACCTGGAAAGTGGCATTTTAGAGCAGGCTATGAGCTGGCTTCCACCCAGGACTCCATGATACTTTCCTTCTCCACTCCTCTTGCCTCCGGCCTCCCTAGTGCTAGGATTTCAGGAGTGTACCCCAGGCCAGTGCCACCATGCCCAATTTATACAGTGCTGAGGGTCAAACTAAGCTATATCCCTAGATCCAAAGTAGATATTTTAAAGCTTTTTAAAAATGTTCACTATTGGAACCAGACAGACTTAGTTTAAGCCACTTTGGGAGCTTAGGGGGTGCTTCCTCAGTAGAGACAGAGGCCTGTCAGGGAGTGCTGGCTGCCAGCCTCGGTTTGGGTTCAGGAAGAGGGAAGTAGACAGTGATGAAACAGACACTTGATGTTTTCTGGCATGGACCACACTTGCATAGGCACATGTTATATAAGCACACACACACACACGTAAGTATGCACACACTCACATATATACACACGGGGGCGGGGCATAAACATACAAAATTACAACTTTGCCACTTTCTATTAACTTTGAGAAAATTATTTTCCTTTTTCTTGCCTCAGTTTCCCTATCTTTACATTTTTTAAAAGATGTGGTGGTCAGAGGATAACTTCCAGGCATTGATTCTCTCTTCCCCCTGGAGCTCTGGGGATGGTCTTCTGGCTTATGTGAGGCATCTTGCTGGTACTCTCCATACTTATTTATTTGTTTTAAGTTTTATTTGATGTGTATGGGTGTCTTGCCTGTGTGAATGTATGTGTGCCACATGTGTGCCTGGTACCCATGAAAGTCAGAAAATGCACTGGGTTCCCTGGAACTAGAGTTACAGCTGGTTTTGGGCTGCTGGAAACTGAACCTAGGTTCCAAGAGCAGCCAGTGCTCTTACCTGCTGAGCCATCTCTCCAGCCCCCACTCCCCATCTTTAAAGTGAAGATTCCAGTCAAATGTGACAGCTCACATCTGTAATCAAGAACTTGAGAGGCGCCGGGCGGGCGGTGGTGGCACACGCCTTTAATCCCAGCACTTGGGAGGCAGAGGCAGGCGGATTTCTGAGTTCGAGGCCAGCCTGGTCTACAGAGTGAGTTCCAGGACAGCCAGGGCTACACAGAGAGACCCTGTCTCGAAAAACAAAAAAACAAACAAACAAACAAACAAAAAAAAGAACTTGAGAGGCTAAAACAGGAGGATTGCTGTGAGTTCCAGAGCAGCCTCAGCTTCAGAATGAGACCCTGTTTCAAAGATCAAAATAGCAATGACAAAAACATTGGGCATGGTGTCCTGTGCTTGTAATCCCAGCACCTGGGTGACAAAGGCAGGAGGATTAACCTAAATTTGGGGTCAGCCTGAATTATATTGTGAGTTCCAGGACAATTGAGCTAAAACGTGAGGCTGTTTCGAAACCAAACATCAACCAAAGTACAAAACAAACAGCCATTCCCCCAACACAGAGCCTGTGGGTAGCCTGGCATAGTGCTCATGCTTATAATTCCAGTATTCAAGAACATTGAATTTGCTGGGTAATGGTGATGCACACCTTAAATTCCAGCACTCAGGAGACAGAGTGGATCTCTGTGATTTCAAGGCTACCCTGGTCTACAGAGGACATCCTGGTCTACAGAGGACATCCAGTGGAAACCCTTTCTCACCCCCTCCCCCAAATAAATAACAAAATAAAATTGAATTCAAGGTCAAGGGTCAGCTTGGTCTACATAGTAAGTTCCAAGCTATTATAGGCTATAGAGAGGCTCTGTCTCCCAAAGCCTATCCATCCATTCACACATGTACACAGTCCCTAGTAGGACTTAACGAGGCTTGTTACCAGGGTTCTGAGACCTGTAGGGCAATAAAAAGGTTTTCAAGGGCTTGAAAAAGATTCCATGTGATGTTGAACTTGGCTGGGTCTGGGGAACCTCTGGGCTGAATGGCCATCCGTGCTTGGACCTATTTACTTTTCTATTTACTGCTGCATACCGCCTGGTTTTAGCTTTGAGCCTACCTCACGCTCTGTTGGCCTCCATATACCCTTCTGTATGCACCCTTCTATATGCACCCTTCTGTACACACCCTTCTGTACACACCCTTCTGTACAC